CGACCACAGTCCTCCTGATAATCTTCTCCATGACTTTGCACACAATACATGTCAGAGACACAGGTCTGTAGTTTAGCGCCTAGTTTCTGTTTCCTTTCTTAAATATGGGGACTACATTTGCTGTCTTCCATTTCTCAGGTAGTTGCCCAGTTTCAAGGTATGTGTTGAAGATTGTGGTTAGAGGCACGCACAGCATCTCTGCTCCTTCTCTAAGGACCCATGGGGAGATGTCCGGTCCCATCGTCTTTGAGGTATCAAGGTCACTTAGCAGCTTCTTCACCTCCTCCTCGGTTGTTCGTATGTCATCCAACACTTGGTGGTATATTCCCTCTTGATGTTCCTTCTGTACTGACTTCCCACAGCCCTTCCTGTCTCCACTGTAAAAACTTCCTTAAATCTCCTGTTTAGCTCCTCACATACCTCCTGGTCATTTCTTGTGAGTTCTCCCCCTTCTGTCCTTAATCTGATTCACCTGGTCTTTGACTGTTGTCTTCCTCCTGATGTGGCTATACAACAGTTTCGGGTCAGTCTTGATTTTCGATGCTATGTCATTTTCATACTGCCGCTGGGCCTGCCTCCTTACCTGTGCGTACTCGTTCCTGGCTCTGCGACTGATCTCCTATTTTTTGTGTGTTCTCTGCCTTCTGTACTTTTTCCATTCTCTATTGCACTTTGTTTTCGCCTCCTTACACCGTCGGGTAAACCAGGGGCTCGTTCTGGTCTTCCCGTTGTTTCTGTTGCCCTTGGGAATAAACCTTTCCACTGCCTCCTTGCATTTTGTTGTTACATATTCCATCATTTCATTTACTGGCTTTCCTGCCAGTTCTCTGTCCCACTGGACCTCCTGCAGGAAGTTCCTCAACTCTTTTATAGTCAGGCTTTTCCCATTCAACTCCTGTTATTCTCTCCACTTGCAGCTCTACTATATATTCAAAGCACAGAACCACGTGGTCGCTAGCTCCTAGGGGACTCTCATACATGATGTCCTCAATGTCTGAACTGCCCAGGGTGAACACAAGGTCCAATGGCGTTTGTTTCTCCGAGGAGTCCACTAATATAACGTTGTCGTTTCTATTTGATATCAAACCCTGAATGTTTACGTTTGTGAGATTAGGTTATAGTGTGGGTTGGTGAAGGACTGGGCCACGGGAGCGCTGCCCCCTGGAACACCCTCTAGGTAGACTCCAGGTCGTCTACTGGTAATGTACCAACAATGAACAGATGTAGACACAGACAGACTGATAGATTGACTAGCTTACAATACATAATGGTGTCGACACTCAACCCCAACGCAGCTGTTGTTTGTGGTGGTGTGGTGACTGGTGGTGGTGGTGACTGGTGGTGGCTGTAGTGGTGGTGTAACAGCAGTAGACAGTGTTGACGAATGAGCTAAGAGAAGACGCTGCTTAAAAAAGGTGACAGCTAATTAAACCAACAAACACAGAGTTAGCGAGTGAGAGGGCGATGGGGGGGGGGAGAAGAGGGAAGGGGGGGAGGGTGGTGGAAGGGGAGGAACGAGGTAGGGGAGAGGTAGTAACAGATAACATCTTGAAGGGGATAAAGGGAGGGGTGGGAGTCCCTTACTGCCTGTCTTGTAACATTTCTCACACCCACGCACGCCCACGTACGACCCACACGCGCCTACGTGCCTCCCAAACACGCCCACGTACACCCACGCACCCACGCACATCCAGTCAACCATGGCATGACGTGCATAGAGTTCTAAATTAATCCGTTACCGAACATGAAGACAGCTAACAGTTAACCTACAGTGTGGTGCTCGTGTTATACTGTGTATCTACACCACTGGTGATGTACCATACCAGTGTGTATCTACACCACTGGTGATGTACCATACCAGGGAGTATCTACACAACTAGTGATGTACCATACCAGTGAGTATCTACACCACTGGTGATGTACCATACCAGTGAGTATCTACACCACTGGTGATGTACCATACCAGTGAGTATCTACACCACTAGTGATGTACCATACCAGTGAGTATCTACACCACTGGTGATGTACCATACCAGTGAGTATCTACACCACTGGTGATGTACCATACCAGTGAGTATCTACACCACTGGTGATGTACCATACCAGTGAGTATCTACACCACTAGTGATGTACCATACCAGTGAGTATCTACACCACTGGTGATGTACCATACCAGTGAGTATCTACACCACTAGTGATGTACCATACCAGTGAGTATCTACACCACTAGTGATGTACCATACCAGTGAGTATCTACACCACTAGTGATGTACCATACCAGTGAGTATCTACACCACTGGTGATGTACCATACCAGTGAGTATCTACACCACTGGTGATGTACCATACCAGTGAGTATTCTACACCACTGGTGATGTACCATACCAGTGAGTATCTACACCACTGGTGATGTACCATACCAGTGAGTATCTACACCACTAGTGATGTACCATACCAGTGAGTATCTACACCACTGGTGATGTACCATACCAGTGAGTATCTACACCACTGGTGATGTACCATACCAGTGAGTATCTACACCACTAGTGATGTACCATACAGTGGAGTATCTACACCACTGGTGATGTACCATACCAGTGAGTATCTACACCACTGGTGATGTACCATACCAGTGAGTATCTACACCACTAGTGATGTACCATACCAGTGAGTATCTACACCACTAGTGATGTACATACCAGTGAGTATCTACACCACTGGTGATGTACCATACCAGTGAGTATCTACACCACTGGTGATGTACCATACCAGTGAGTATCTTACACCACTAGTGATGTACCATACCAGTGAGTATCTACACACACTGGTGATGTAAACCCTACCAGTGGAGTATCTACACCACTGGTGATGTACCATACCAGTGAGTATCTACACCACTGGTGATGTACCATACCAGTGAGTATCTACACCACTAGTGATGTACCATACCAGTGAGTATCTACACCACTGTGATGTACCATACAGTGAGTATCTACACCACTGTGATGTTACCATACCAGTGATATCTGCACCACTGGTGATGTACCATACAGTGGTATCTACACCACTGGTGATGTACCATACTAGTGTGTATCTACACCACTAGTGATGTACCATACTAGTGTATATCTACACCACTAGTGATGTACCATACTAGTGTATATCTACACCACTGGTGATGTACCATACTAGTGTGTATCTACACCACTGGTGATGTACCATACTAGTGTGTATCTGCACCACTGGTGATGTACCATACTAGTGTATATCTGCACCATTGGTGATGTACCATACTAGTGTGTATCTGCACCACTGGTGATGTACCATACTAGTGTGTATCTACACCACTAGTGATGATCCTATTTAAATCACTTCTTTCTAGACTAGAATACTGCTGTACACTAACAACTTCATTCAAGGCAGGTGGAATCGCAGATCTAGAGAATGTACAGAGAGCCTTTACTGCACATTTAAGTTCCGTCAAACATCTTAACTACTGGAAACGCTTGGAAGCACTTGATCTGTACTCACTCTGGAGCGCAGGTGAGAGATATGTCATAATCTACAACTGAAAAATCCTAGAGGAACTGGTCCCTAATCTGCACACACAAATCACTTCCTATAGAAGCAAAAGACTGGGCAGACGGTGCAACAAACTCCTAATGAAAAGTAGGGGTTCCATTAATACACTAAGAGAAAACACAATAAGTGTCTGGGGCCCAAGACTGTTCAGCAGCCTCCCGCCAGGCATAAGGGGAATTACCAATAGACCCCTGGCTGCCTTCAAGAGGGAGCTGGACAGATACCTGATCAACCGGGCTGTGATTCGTACGTTGGACTATGTGCGGCCAGCAGTAACAGCCTGGTTGATCAGGCCCTGATCCACCGGGAGGCCTGATCAGGGACTGGGCCGCGGGGGTGTTGATCCCCGGGACACCCTCCAGGTAGACTCCATATAGTTTTGAAGAGGGATATCAAGCGAAGTCAAGAGTTTGTGTTGCTGTTGGTGCGTTAGATGTGATGTTCACCCCTAAGTCTTTCCTGTAGCGGAATATTTGTAACACCTCTCCTATCAGACTCACTCTACTTCTGGTCTTCTCTCTAATTCTCGTGAACTTCCACTTATCAAGGGTTGAATAGATATGGGTTACACGGTAAACTAGCCACTGCTGTCTTCAGAATAGATATGGGTTACCAAATGAACTGGAAGCCTCAGCGGTCAAATCAAACATTCTCTTTGGCAATCTACATCTTAAAACTTCTCTTAGTCTCCCTGCTTCTCATTTCTCTCTCGTTGCTTTCATCGCTCATGTTGCTTACTCCTCTTTCCTCATTACCCTCATTAATCTTTCGTTCTCTCATCTATTCGTCTCCTTGTGTGTTGCCTCATGATCAAGACGTAGAACAAGCACGGAAGAACACATACACACACACAGCAAGCACGCAAGAACACATAGAACAAGCATCAAAGAATACACACGCACACCAAGCACGCAAGAATACACACACAGATAAAGCACGCAAGAAACACACACACAGACACAACACACCACACACACACACACACACACACACACACAAAAGGAAGCAAGCACCAAGAACACACACACACACACACACACACACACACACACAGAGGAAGCAAGCACGCAAGAACACACACACACACACACACACACCAGAGGAAGCAAGCACGCAAGAACACACACACACACACACACAGAGGAAGCAAGCACGCAAGAACACACACACACACACACAGAGGAAGCAAGCACGCAAGAACACACAACGAGCACCCAAGAACACACAAAACAAGCACGCAAGAACACACACACAAAGAAGAAGCCCTCACACATGCATGGGGAAACACATGTTCCTTTAATGCAAGCATAGGCACAAGCACACAGACGAAGCAGACACGCTCGCACAAATCCCTTCAATGCAAGCAAATCCATCGCAGCCACAGGCATCTTGCAACATTCCTCACCCCCATCTCAACTTCCCCTCCTAACTGGCAAACAATACACTGATTTCAACCTTCTTTAATCCCTCCCTCCCAGGGTTCTCCTACCGTGGTGTGATTGTCCCTACCCTCCCTCACTGTGTTCCGACCCTCCCTCATTGTGTCCCTACCCTCCCTCACTGTGTCCCTACTCCCTCCCGCGCCGCCTCACGCCCACAAACTGGCTACAGAAGTAATAAATGCGTGGGAGATGCGGTGTGGTGGGCGCACCTCGGCCTCCACTTGTCAGCCTAACATGGCTGTGTCAACAAACATGGCTGCTGGGTACATGACCGCCCCATCTCATCTAACTTGTGTCACACGACACTACATGGGAACTGCTCTCTCTCCTTCTCTCCAAGATGGTGTGTCCTGCCACGGTATGTTCTTGTTCTCTAGTGGTAGTGAAGGTTTGCATCTAGGGTGAGGCAACTGCCAGTGAATCATGTTTATAATATCGGGTCACTATCCGTGTCCAGAAAATCTTAATGCTAATTTTTCTCAAGGTTAGTAGCCAAGACCAGTGTGGTGCTAGGGAAAGTGATGGCAGTTTTGTAGCACCTACAGCAGGTGTTCAGCGCTGCGTGACCCTTGTGGGTTTAGCGATTAGTTATTAAAATAAAATACGAGGTGGCCAAGCCTCACTTGCCACACATCAGTAATAATAATAATAATAATAATAATAATAATAATAATAATAATAATAATAATAATAATACAAGTACATGGTACAACTTATACAGACCATAGCTGACATCAGTGACACACTATATAGCCCCTTGTTATGCAAAGCATTTCAGGCAACTTAGTTAATTTTGACCCCCAGGATGCGACCCACACCTGTCGATTATAACACCCAGGTACGATCTACCTCACCATCATGAACCAGTTCAGGAAAAGCACTGAAAAAAATACCAGATGAGTCGAGCCACAGAACAAGAGGAAAGTGATTTATTTTGCAGTTAACATTACTGTAACTTATACTCGACTGTTTTTTTTTTTTATGTTAGAGTAATTCTTTTCGCTATATATTTGATTTATTCGGTTTATTTGCATTTGATTACTCAAGTGTATTTTGTTTTTGTTATTAATAATCATGGTTGACTTTTTAACTGTTGTTGTTGGTAATAGAAACCGACAAATTTGTTTAGAAAGACACCCGAGGAAACACTGGTATATATTACGAAACGTTTTCTAATAAATATATCCTAGTGTTTGTTTTGTATCTTTCTAAACCACTGTTGCTAATGTCTAGGCTAGTCAAGGTAAGGCGCCACCGTGGAAATGATCCGCTTTACTTGACCTGTTTTTGGGCTATTCTGGTTCATTTATGCACATGTTACTATACAAGACAATTGTAATCATCCAAAACTTGTATGATCGCTACTAGTTTAGTGGTCATCCCCATCATTGTAATAATAATAATAATAACAACAACAACAACAACAACAATAACAGTGTAGCTACGGGCGCTCCGTGTTATCCTAACTTTTGTTTGCTGAGTTTTTAATCTTTTTTTTTTTTTTACTTTGCTGTGGGTGTGGGCTGGCTCTAGGACCAGCCCTGGGGGGGGGGGGCTTTGCAAGCGACGGGGTTACCTGTACAGAACACGAAACCCCGTGTTCTGTACATGTAACCCTGTGTTCTGTATAGCAAACTTACAGGTACAGGTAACCTCTTTTTTCTGTTTGCGTTTGAAAATGTAGCATTGCCTTCGTACTTCACTGCATTCAATTGCATTATTGCTAGTTATAATTATGTTATTAGACGATAATCTTAGCACACTAATATTCACACATCACACACAAACACAAATTCACAACAACCACAGACAACACATACACACACAACACAACACACATCACACACTACTTCACACACCACTGACAAGATGGTACACGGAAGATAAACAAACATGCGGGAGTCTACTTGATTAATAGTGGCAGGAGGTGAGAGAGTGTGGGGCGACCTGGCTCTCTACGACAAGCAACCAGGAAGAAAAATTCTAAGATACAGTGATGAGAGGTTCCAAGAAGACAGGGAACATGGCAGAAGAACAAGGTGTTTCAAGAAGCCAAGGAACAGAGAACAGAGTAGAAAAGGCTTCAAGAGATGAGAGCAGCACTGAAAGAGGCAGTGTCATCCAGCTTCAGTGGAAGATGGGGTAATCAGGCCCTCAGTCTTAATAGAAGGTGTTTAGTGTCTTAACCTAAATCAAGGCTAATGGGACTGAACACCTTACATCAAGACGCTATACAGACACCAGTACACCACAACTCAGACGCCAGTACACCACTACTTAGATGCCAGTACACCACTACAGAACAAGGGTATCCTGTACACAAAATAAACACTGGAGGTCACGTGTAATGGTCACTTGACCCGACCTTAGAGTCAGTGGATGGGTAGTTTCCGGAATTGTGTGGGAAGGTGTGTTACCTAACGTGTCTCATCTTCTGTGTTGGGGGAAGGGGAGGTTAGTGTATTGGGGAGGATGGTTAGTGTACTGAGGAGGGGTTAGTGTGTTGGGGAGGGTGGTTGTGTGTTGGAGAATTTAGAGTGGGTATTTGGAAGGTTGGAGGGGATATTGTGAAGTTAAATGTGATGAGAATTTAGTGTGGCTGGAACGGGATGTAATAATAATAATAATAATAATAATAATAATAATAAAAATGTCGAAAAACAAACAGAAAAAATAACATTTACCAGAACAGAAAAAAATAATTGCATATAATGTGAGAGCTTGAAGCTGTCCTGGCTTTCAAAATTAATATGTCCCTCACTGGAAAAAAAAAAAAACACTCGAGCCAGGCTGAGAGAATTGTTCCATCACAAACACATCAGTGTGCTTGTTTGTGCTTGTTTTCAGCGTCAACTGAACAAGGTGTTAGGTACTTGACCAGACGCTAATGGCTTGCTCTAATTGTTGCATTTGATGCAGTGTAGCCAACACTGGTGGGCTGATGGAGGGTAGGGGGGGTGCAGGGTACATTTAGAGGTTAGATGGGGTGTGTGGAGGGTACGTTGTGGGGAGTGGAGGGTACATTTGGAGGTTAGATGGGGTGATAGAGGGTATTTGTGGGTAATGGTAGGGGGGTTGATATGGGAGTGGAGGGTCTAGGTGGGTAATAGAAGGTAGATGTTAGGTAGTGAACAGTGCAAGAGAAGTTTAAATAGGTAGGTTTAGACTACATATGGGGGTGGAGAGGTTGATGTGGGGTAATGGAGGTTACTTGTGGAAAGCTGTAGTGGTGGTTCAGAGCAAGTGTTAGCAGCTCCAACAGATACAGATCATTTATGACCCGCATGTAATCAATAAAGCATTTACATTACTAGGAACGTCTCAGAGTCCTAAATATGTACTCGGTGGAGCGGAGGAGAGAGATACATGATAATGTATATACGTGGATGATACAGGGCTGGATTAAGGCATGGGCTTCAGGGGCTGCAACCCAGGGGCTTCCGCCCGCTGGAGGGTCTCCAGAGACTAAGTGAAAGGTGTTGACAGCCTCACAGTACCTGTAGCCCAAGGGCCTACAAAATCTTAAATCGGCTCTGGGAAGATACATAGAGTGCCTGGCCCCAAATCTTCACACGCTTCCATAACATATTGGAGAGAGATACGGGAAAAATGTAAAATAAACCCAGTGAAAAGCAGGAGCACCGTGGGCACCATGAGAGAACATTGTATCAACATGCGTGGACCTAGGTTGTTCAACGTTCTACCAGAAGATATCAGAAATACTGCCGGAACAAGTGTATAAGTCTTCAGTAGGAAACCCGAAAAGTTCCTCTACCAAATGTCAGATCAACCAATCTGTGATGTGTGTGTGAACCAGCGGGCCACCAGCAGCAGCAGCCTGATTGACCAGGTAAGCACAGGACATGCCTTGCCAGGCTGCGTCAGTAAAACTCTTGAAACTCAGCAAGGGTATATGAAGGTATATGGGGTGCTGAAGGGTAACTGTGGGGATAGATGATAGATGTGGGATAGTAGATGGGATAGATGGTAGATGAAATGGAACATGTGGGGATAGATGGTAGATGAAATGGAACATGTGGGGATAGATGGTAGATAGTAAATGGATGATAGATAGCAGAAGTGGGGATAGATGGTAAATTCTCTCCAAGCATTCCCCCCCTCCCCCACCCACATACCTCCTCTTACTCATACCCCTCTCCCCCAATATCCTGTCTTTCACCTTCCTCCTCTCTTCTACCTGCCTCCCCCTCCCACTCCCTAATAGACTCCCCGCCAGTATAAACAACCCAAAACGGACGTCCAAACAAGGAGTCAATTGGGTAGTTGAGACGTAATGAGTAGGGAGGCGCTAACACCATTAGCCGGGGGAGGGAGAGGGGAGTTAACAAGTTTTGGTAACCACTTACCAAGTGGTAATTGTAAGTTCCTGGGAGGGGGTCTTGTGTTCCCTCCATCTCCTCCCTGGGGCTGTTGGGAAGGAGGAAGGGGAGGGAATTTTAGACTCTCTCTCTGTCTCTGTCTCTCTCTCTTTCGCGAATCTTATAATCTTCTCATTTAAATTCTACAACTATTTATCTTCATCCTCCACTTCTCCTCCTCCTCCACTTTCTCTTATTTTCATCAAGATCTTAGTTTTCTCTTATTTTTGACATCTTGAAGATTATACAAGTAATGTTGACCCCGGAACACCATTCTGGTACTAGTATTAATACAGTTAATAATAGTGTGTGTGGGCCTCCGCGGGGTAGTTCATGGGGGAGTGTGGGCGTGGGGATGTGTGTAAGCGTGGGTATGTGCGTGGGGGAGTGTGTGGGCGTGGGTGGTTCAGGTGTAATGGACAGCTGTCGGAAATGAGGCGAAGATAAGTATTGTGTGTGTGTGTGTGTGTGTGTGTGTGGTGTGTGTGTGTGTGTGTGTGTGTGTGTGTGTGTGTGTGTGCGCCGCTCAAATGTGGTTGCAGGGGTCGATTCGCAGCTCCTGTCCCCATGTGTGTGCGCGCGCAGGTATGTACGTGCGTACGTATTCACTGAGTAATGTTTGCCTGGGGCTAGTCAATTCACAGCTTTTGATCCTTTATCCAACGACAATCACGGGTAATAATCCAGGATTCTTGGGTCCTACCATACCTGCTCTTGAAGCTATGCATTGAGTTTGCCATCTACCACTTGGCTCTTTCCACTTATTTACCACTCTGAAACTGAAAAAGTATTTCGCAACATCCCCGTGGCTCGTCTATCTCAAACTTCCATCTATGACCCCTCTCAGCTCGCGTTTCAAAACCTCTCCCTTCCTGTCCACCCGTCAAACCCTTCGCGTATCTTACAAGTCGTAATCATGTCTCCCCCTGGGCCTATCCTCTTCTGTACTTCTGGACTGCTATCTTGCTGTCACTGAGGA